AGTAATCTGAGCAACCAGCTCCTCCCGAGTCGACAACTTCTTCAGCTCCTCGGTCTAATCTTCAGCAGGCGCAGTGACAACCTTTAACTTCTCCACCAAATCCTCGATAGCCTTCTTATAGGCAGCTAGGGCATCCCTCTTTGTGGATATCTCCTCGCAACCCTTTCGCACAATCTTTTCAAGCTCCCTATGCCGCTCCTCTTGAAGTTTCTTGACCTTCTCTTCTAGGGCCGCTACCGCAGCTTGGGATTTCTTCAACTCAAGCTCAAGTAGAGAGCCGTCCTCGATGTACACCACGCCCATCTCCAAGATTCTCATCAAGGCAGAGGCATCCTGCGCGAGCATGACCTACATGCTGGGACAGTCCATCTCCCCGAGCTTGAGAGATTCTGCCTGAGGAATGGACAAGGAAGACCCCTCGAAGAACTTTTTATTATGCAGGCAGGGATATAACTCGAACTTACTTTTGAAGGACTCCCGACTGAGGTCCACGATTTCATTCACACGGGCACGCTTGAACCTCGAACTCACGAGCATGAGGGACATCTGAGTGGCTGGCGGGGTAGATGAGGAAGTCCCCAATCCTGTCTGGGGAGGAGACGTTCATTGACTATGGTGGATTTTTCCTAGGGCCACGCCGCCCTTCATCTTTTTATGGGCGTTCTTCACCATCCTCTCCTGCGCCAAAGATATATTATCTGCAAAAACAACGAGCACATTAGCACGTGAAAAGAGAAACATCTTGAATTTAATAAGGAGAAGTGGGAAGCTAGCCAAGAGTTTGAGAGCCTCCTCGTGAGTGCTACACTCGAGGAGCTCTTTAGTGTATATATATTGGGCTTCCACTTGTAGCTCTCATCCTCGTCATAAAGCACCTGCCTAATGCGAGTCACACATTAGGCGGGAAAGAAACCGTCCACAAAGGCCACCTGCTTAGCATAGCTAGCCCGATCATCGTCGGCAAACTAATGAGGAGTCATTATATACTCATCAGTCGAGCGGGTAAAATGAGCCCCACTCTAGAAGAAGGGGAAAATGAACAATCTTCAGGCAACTATCTTGCCTTCTTCATCTATCAGATTCTCCCTGTTCTCGTTCATATAGACCTCCCACACGAAGTTAGAGTCGGTAACTTTCTGTGACACAGACTCGATCACGTAGAACCTCTCTTTGAAGGTTCAAATACATTCAGAGAAGGGTTTGAATAATTTCCTCCCCCGTTTCAGAGAAACCCAACTGAATTTCCTCCCCAACACTTGTCAATGGAGATGGAAGATAGTGAAAAATAGCGGAAGAGTGGCCCCGATCTGCAAATACTTGCACACCAGTTCATATGCCGGCATGAAGGCAATAAAATTTGGATGCAGTTGGGAGGGTGCCAAGTCCAAATGTACGAAGACTGCCCGTTGAAAGTTTGTGAAGGGCAGCCTCAACCCTATCTCTTTAAAAACATACTCGTACATAGGAAATCTCTCCCTGTACGCCGAGCATATACAATCATCCTCCGAGGGGAAGTGGACCATCCATTCTCCCTCTAGCCCCACCGTGGTAAATATATCCCCGGTGTACGAAGCGGAAAGTGATGCATGCTCCATCGGCTCGGCCACAATCCACTCCTCGGTCGAGGTCCTCACAACAGTCACCGCTCCAGCCTTAGGGGACGTGGAGTCATCACCCGTCTCAGTATCTTCCAAGGAGCTTTCCTCGGACAAATCTCTAAGATGTTCTTCTTCGTCAGCTCTGTGCGACATTGCTTTTACCTGAAAAGCAGAGGATAATAGTGAACTCGATGACAAAATCAAATCCACCCTTCCACTGGTAGTCAAATGAAAGGACACGCAAAAGGCCAAAGACAACATCATCGATCTAAGCCTTACTAAAATGACACAACTAAGAAAATGAGGAAGTGTCCAGGAGTTCTCCATGACACATCCGGGGAAAAATCCTCGCATATAAAACCCTGAACCCTCATGAGGGAACCACCGGAAAGCTCGTAAGCACACTGGAATCCATGGTTTCCTCTGGCAGCAAACACCACTGTGTCATCACTACTTCGGGATCAACTAAAAACTTACAGCTTGCTAAATTGCTCCTTCCTAAACGACCATTATGGCGCCGGCAACAGAGAAAGTGGTCGAACCACCGTCTGCCACCAACAACCACCACAAAATGCCATCGAACTACCTCATTTCAGCCCTAACCGTATGCATTCTAAAGCATAATAACCAGAAAAATAGATAGCAAGCAAAGAATGACATACTTACTTGGTCGAGGAATAGACTTCTGGTTTTGTGTAGCTCTGGTCGGACTTGGTATGGTGGTCGGAACGGAACTTGACGGCGGCGATCAGCGGAGAACGAAGAACAAAAAGCAAGAAGAGAGAGAAGCGAAATTTCTAAATGAGCAGACTCTCTCACTATTTATAGACAAATCCCAGGCACGTGCACGAGCATGCGCGGGTAGGGCATCATCATGACCCTAGCCTAGCCATCATCACGCATTTAATGCAACACACGGCTCGAGGCACACATGGCACTCCCACCCTTCAGATCCCATCAACCGTTGGTCTATCCAGACCTAGAACTCCCTAGCAAGTAACACTTTAGATGCCCGAGCACAGATTCCTTCAAGCACAAAGTAACTTACGACGATTATGCCCGAGAAGTAGGCTGTCCTTAAGTCATCACTACCATGATCGATAGCAACGACTTGGGGGGCTACTGTTCCGGACTGCCCCAATGGCTAAGGATGATCCAATCCACTTCTGCTCCCAGAACGACCCAATTGCTTAAGTCCAACCACTTGGGGGGAGAATTTACCTTTCAGCCCTCCAACAGGGGAGACTGACCAATTTACCCTTTGTCACATCACTTCTCCTCGTTAGTCTCTGCCCGTCACGCACGATCCCACCATGCAGAAACAGTCAAGACGTCTGTGCCCGTAACTACGCCCCTGCTCGTAGCAACGACTAGTTATGGACACGTATGTCTGTTACAAAGGTTAGTTCTGGAAGTTACATATTCTTCAGGAAACAGTTATCTCGCCCCAAAAATAAGGACCAATGGCCAAGCGATGGGGGCATTATATAAACACTGTCACTTGAGAGGGTCAAGTATCCAATATTCACCCTGAAACACTCATATTTTGTACTTGCCCTCTCTCTTGCTCGTTTTTTTACTTTAGCATCATAGTGCCTTGCAGGTACACCCCCTCCTCCTCTTTCACATCCAGCATCACAGACGATTATCTTTGACCCATCTTAAGTTCTGATCAATCAGTAAGATCAGAACTCATTGAGACAAGTATGTCTTATTTCACACATTTTTTTTAAATTTTTGGATAGACAGATAGGCAAGGATACGAAGACTGCTAAAATATTGGAGTTTGAAGAACTTTCATATATATATATATATATATATATATATATATATATATATATATATATATATATATATATATATATATATATATATATATATATATATATATATATATATATATATATATATATATATATATATATATATATATATATATATATATATATATATATATATATATATATATATATATATATATATATATATATATATATATATATATATATATATATATATATATATATATTTAATTACGCGTTCGTCTACTTGATTATGTTTAAGATTATGTCTTGGTTTAATTTTATATTATGTAATTTCAAATGTATAAAAATTCACATCGTTATGATACAATGTATTTTTATGTATTATATGTTAATTTAATTTATAATTTTAAAAGTATGTGATATTAATTATGTATATCTCAATTAAAATTTTAGATAAATTTATTTAGGATGTGACAATTCTTTTTAAACATATTTTGAATTTCTTAAACATGCTCCCTCAATTTTTTATTATATGTTATTTTTACATATTAAAAAATATAATTAATTTTATATAAGAAATAGAAATTATAAATTGTTTTACAAAAATGTTATTAAGTATTAATATACAAAACTTAAACGAAGAAATAATGATAACAACTTAATAGTTTAATTAAAAAATATTACTAATATTCAATCGGTGTTGTAAATTAAATTTATAATTTTTTAAAGACAAAATTGAGTTGTAATTTAAAAGCTATCCAGATACAAATCCCAATTTTCTTCCCCATTTGCAGTTTCCATTCAGATTAACGACATCAGCACCTACACATGTAATTACCAAAACACCCTTATTCATTCATTCCTCCATTGACCACTTCCCAACTAAGGGTTTTCTCTTTTCTTTCTACACCGTAATTAGGGTTTCAACACTCCTTCGTTTTTCCCTCTTTCACACTTTCCATCAAGATCCACTTGGACTTTCTTTCACACCCTTTTCCTACACAAGTCATACTCTCTCCAAAGCTTCAATTTTTCACAACAACCCTTTTATTTGGGGTTTTTTTCTTACCGTATACTCCATTTCTATCCCCTTTCGCGTGTTTGAATTGAACTCGTTGAAATTTCTATCTTCTCGGACAATTGGGTCAGCTTCGTGTTGGAGTTTGGATTTTCGATCTGATCCAGTTACGTTCGTGTGCTGAATTGTCTGGAGCTGGGTTTTCAATCCGTGAGTTCTTTGGAGTTTTGTGTAAAGTTTTAAGGAAATAAGGGTATGTTTTCTGTCTCTTATTTCGGTTCTAGGGTATATATTTGTGCTGTTGGTGGGATTGATTGGCTTGTTGCTTGTAATTGTGATAAAGGTTTATTGTGAATTGAGATTCAAATCTGGGAGTTTGTATATTGGTTGCTAGTTTATAATTTGGTTGACTTAAGGGATGGTTTAGATTATCGTTAAAGGTTGTTTTTTTTGAAGTAGTTAGTGTATTTTAATTGTTGAAGTTCAGTGGGTTGTTTAGGTTAATTTGTTGGATTTTGAAGTTTTGGGTGTTGTTGGAAGTTTGTGTGAGTTGTTTTGGTTTTCTGAAAGAGGAAGCAAGTTGTTGATTTCACATTGGAGCCAGTGTTGTTTTTGGAAATGGATAACTCCAAAAACAGACTTAATGATAGTTTGGGTGTTAACAAATTGGGTAAGAATATAAGGAAGAGCCCTTTACATCAGCCTAATTTTGGCAATAATGCTGCTAGACAACAGCCTCAGCCTCAGGTTTACAACATAAGCAAGAATGATTTCCGAGATATTGTTCAGCAGCTTACCGGTTCCCCTTCTCAGGATCATCCACCTCGGCCTCCACACAATCCGCCAAAACCGCAGAGTATGCGTTTGCAGAAAATTAGACCTCCACCGCTATCGCCCATCAATCGACCTCGTTTGCCACCACCAATGCCAATGCCAATGCCTGCAGCCCCTCCTCCAGTTCCTTACAATAATGCACCTAGACCGGCTCATTATGGACAAGGACAACCATCACCCTCTCCTTTGACGCCTGGGGATTTGTGGGCCAATACAACTGAGTCGCCAATCTCTGCTTACATGCGTTATCTTCAGAATTCAATGATGGATCCAGGTTCCAGGGGTAATCAATTTCAGCCTCAACCACATCCACACCCTCAACACCAATCACATGGAAATTTTCAGCATCAACCTCCTTCGACTGCTTTGCTTCCTACTCCCCCCGTGCCCCCGATCCCTTCTCCGAGATTCAATGGTCCTATGCCACCAATGAATGGCCCTAATCATCCAATGCCTAGTGTTCCTTCACCACATGGAAATGGCCCTCCACTTTTACCTTCTCCAACCTCTCAATTCTTCATGCCTTCTCCAACCGGTTACATGAATTTACTGTCCCCTCGGTCACCTTATCCGCTACTGTCACCTGGCTTTCATTTTCCACAGCCACTTACACCCAACTTTCCATTCTCACCCATGGCACAGCCAGGGGTTTTAGGTCCTGGCCCTCAACCACCGCCTTCTCCCGGCCTTATGTTTCCATTATCTCCTTCAAGCTTTTTCACCATGCCAAGTCCTAGGTGGAGAGATCACTAGTCTTCTCAATTTGTGCTTACATGTTTGATTTGGGGGTGCTTCCTTCTAACTGGACAGATCTTAGTCTTGTTCATTGGCAAGTTGTAAGGGCTTTTTTTTGGGCTGTTTGTAGTGTTCATTTCCCATTTCTTTGTTTCTTTTTTTATTTGATAACCATAATGGTTTTGATCCTTTTACTTCAACAAGTTTTACATTAGGCAAAAATATATTGGAGATCGAACAACACAATTGAACAGTTGGACAGGAGCTGTAAAATTGAAGACTGATCTGTAACTTGAAGGGATGTAGGATTACAGACAATACTTGTTATTGTAGGTTAGCTCATGTTCTTTTGTAATATAATGGATTACAACTTAAAGTGCATAGTTAATTTCATGTTTTCTTTCCTTTGGAAGGTGTTTTTAAATATTAATCTTATGGTTATTACCATGTGAATTGCTATGAATGATGTTTTCTTCTGTATATTGTCTTTCTTATCTCTAACAATTCCCTGTTTCAATTTATCACTGTTTGACTAGATTTCTTTAGCATCCTCTTTCGGGGATAAAGGTGGTCAAAAAGGCCCAAGATAAAGAAAACATACCTTTTATGCCGACTTTGAATAGACTGGTTAATCCTGATTTGGGGATGTATATTCATGGTTTCATTTTGATCAATTGTCTGTGTTATATTAGCTGTAAATTGAGTTAGATTCTGCTTTAGAGGGTACTGCCGGGAAGAGACTATGATACTGCCTTTACTTATTTATTTTTTCCATGCTTTCTTCTACAAAGCTTTCTGAGATAATTAGATGTTACTTTTAACAGTGGGAATTTTACCACCTGTTTTTGACATTCCTATGATACAACATTCTTGCTCTTTTGCCTGTTACTATAACTAGGGTTTACCTCATATATGTTGCTTCCATGCAAATTTGTTGAGCCATGCATGTGCTGCTATCTAGAACTTTAATGTATTCTTTTTGGGATTGGTTCATTTCCCAAAACGTGTAATTCATTTTTTAAGACATGATACATCTTGCAATGTAACTAAATTGTCTTTTTATTGAAGAACCTAATTAGTCCCAGACATTAACCAAAAGACTCTGCATCCACCTAGGTTGGAATTTTACTCTTTTCTTTACCCTTCTTTCTCTATATTAGCTTCTGCCATTGGTTGGTGCTTTGTAGTGATTCTTTTAGCATCTCTAGACCACAATTTAACTTGCCTTGGTTGGTTCTTATGCCAGTCTTTATTTTATCGCCATTCATTAGAGCATTGCCTGCATTTTTTAGGCACCTTTTTCTTACAAATAAGCCAACAATTTCATAATTGTTTGCACAAGATAGCGCCAACTTTTTTTTCTGTATGAAAAAAAAGGTGGAGCAAGTTTTGTTCTATTTGATAGTTTTGGCACGAGTTTTGTATTTTTTATGCTTTGCTTTGCTTGGGAATTCGGATGAGTGGGGAAGAAAGAGCTTTGGAGGAGGGGATTTGTAAAAATAAATTAAAAATAGAGAAATTTTAAATATTTTTTGAAATTGTGCTTTTATATATAATGGTAAATGAAGAGTTACATAAGTCCTTCAAAATTCCATTTTAATACAAATTTTGAGTTATTTATATTATTAATAAAAACAAACTCTTTAAAATCCTTCCCCTTCACCTTAAGGATTGTTTTTCCATTCTAGGGAAAAATTCAAATTGTCCATAAAATTCAGAAATGGTTTTTGGACACACTTCATTCACATTCATTTTTGAGGCAAGGCTATGTCAATATATTTTTTTTTAAAGAAATGCATATCCGAACACTATTTTATTTAGATACGTGCCAGAGTCTCTTTTCTTTCTTCCCTTTTTCAAATACTTTAAAAACTCACAAATTTTTTGAACTCTCAAAATCTCTAAACTCTCAAATTCTCTAAACTCACAAACTCTTAAACTCATTCAATACACTTATGTGTTTTTACAATTAACATCTAATCGATGAAAGAGTTTAACATCAAACTCACATTTGATAAGTTTTTGATTTCTCTTAATTTTTTTTTTAATTTCAAAATACATTTTTAGAAATTGAGTATTAGGTTATGTTATATGTAGTTTGGATAGACTATTAATGTATGCATTATTTGCCTTCATTTCATCGTGTTTAAGTTGTATAATACTTGTGTGGTTTAATTATTAGGCATTATGACTGATAACCAATATAGATTGAGTCACGACAAAATTGCTCATCATGCATTGGTTTAGAGGGAAATAACTCGATCATCGCAGACAACCAATATAGATTGAGTCACGACAAAATTGCTCATCATGCATTGGTTTAGAGGGAAATAACTCGATCATCGCAGACACTCAATTCTAATTTGGTTGATACGAAGACGTCAACATTTGGGGTTCATGCATCTCCTCTTTCATCTTTGTGTAGAAGGTAAATGTCACCTCCTGATGCCCCATAAGTCCCACCGGTACATGTTAAGGCACCTGAGGTATCCAAGGCAACACCCTAGACACCTAACTCCGACATACTCAATGGTGTATATTATTTATATTAGAGCATTATTATTGTTAGTATTTAATTTTGACTTTATTATGTATTTCAAATTTATTCATTTATATATGAAATTTTCATATTATTTGATAAGTGAATGGTTTAATTTATATGAAATTTAATATGATACTACAATTATAACACGTCGTTGATTACTTTAACATATCTCTAAAACAAAGTTAATTTTACTGTCTGATATACAGTATTCTATTTAAATTGTTTACGGAAATACATCTTTGAATGGATATGGTTCAGTTAGAATGTGTTTTAGTGAAAAAAGTATGTGTTTGAAAATACATTTTCAAAATTTAAAAGATATTTTTATATTTTTTTAAGAGTATTTTTTCATCACTTATAATGAAATAAATAAACAATTTCTTTTGTCTTTATTTTTAAGAGTTTTTTTGTTTGCTCAAACATTAAGCATGCGTCTGCTCCAACTTTTTTTGAGTTTAAAAATTACCTTAAAGCTAAAATCAAGAATAATAATTATAAATTATAGTTTAATAGTTATAAAATTTTAAAAGCTTAAAAGTTATCTTAAAATTAAATTTAAGAATAATAACTTCAAAAATAAACTTTTAAAAACTTAATAAATGCTGCAATTCTATTACCGGTAATATATCATCAATGATTAAATTTGGAAGCTCAGTACAATTTTTTTACGAAAAAGAAATTATCTGAGGATATACAATATAATAAATAATAAACAAATAATTGTTGAATAAATATATAAATAGCGAAAAAATCCTTTAAATCTAGTTTTTTACATAACAAAGTGCCTATTTTTTCTTTATGTTAATCAAGGGTTGGTATTCTAAAAATATTTATTTTATGTATTTTTATTTATCATTAAGAAATTTAGAATACCAAACTGTGATTTTCTTTTATAACAACTATCAATACATTTAATAATAGAAATGAAAAGAAAATGATTGCATTCAGAAAAAGAAAATGAAAAGTATATTACACTTAACAAGACACAATCATAAAAGTTTAAATAAAACATAAAATTTATAGTTAGGGAGGGGAATTCGAAGAGTGAGATATGAAAAATAAGTTATGCATGTCTTATAAAACTAAATTTTATTACATAAGAGAATTTCTTAACACACTTTGTGTATTTTTTAAACATCATGTGGATTTTATGTAATACTCATAGTTTTCGAAAATATTTTTTCAGACGTATCATTTTTTCACTCAAGGAATGCCATTCTGAATGGCACTTCATCCCGTTGCTAAAATTTTATTTCGGAAATATATCTCAGAAAACATTTAGAGAAAACAAGAAAATTAATCCGTTCATTGGATGCTTCAGAGATATATCTCCGGAAGATGTGAATGACAATTTAAAATTTTCGGTCACCTTTGCATGTCGGATTGTTACGGAGATATCTCTCCGAAAGTATCTGATATAGTTTCAAGTTGCATGATCAGTCCCCCAATTGTTGCCATTCTTCATTTCAACTCTAACCATCACCCTATAAACCCTACATTCTCAATCTCATTTTTCACTTCAAATCTCCATCCTTTTGCTTCAACATATCACAGGGAGTAAAAAAAGATCGAATTTCAGGTTAAGATTGTTCATTTTATTCTGCATTACTCACATTAATCATGAAACTTTACTAAAAAAAAACTTACGCAGTGTTCGGAGATGTATCTCCGAAACGTGCTGAACATGAACTTTTTCGGAGATATATTTCCGGAATGTTTATGTGTTCATTCTCCATCCTTTTCTGCAACAATAGATTAATTATGTTTACTATTTTTATTGTTTCCAATAGATATGATGCACCCTAATAATATATGGAAACAAGTAGTTTCTTCGAACGAAGTTTCTCCGAATGTTCAATGGATTGTTGTTAAGGCGGTAGATGTTCACAATGAATTTAATAACAAGCAATAGTTTGAAAATCATGATAACATGCTCGAATGGATTCGTATGGTGGCATCTAGACTTGAATTTGGTGTGCTTATCGAAAGGTCGGATAATGGCTAGGATAGAAGAAACACCTTTGTGACTATGTTCTGTGAAAGAAGCAGGAAATATCAAACTCCTCTCCAGAAATTTAAGAGAGAAACTACGAGTAGTAGAAAATATAAGTGTCTGTTTAAGCTTCGCGGTTACATGTTGGCTAGCAAAAAATGGAGATTTAATGTCATTTGTGCTTAAATTAGTCGGACATCCTAGTGTATGTCGACTCAAGTCGGAGGATAAGGTATGTATTAGTTACATGAACTTGAATATTGTCCAACCGAAAAATATACTTGCAACATTGAAATGGAAGCAAACCGACAATATATCAAACATCAAGCAAGTGTATAACATTCAATACCTTACTAACAAGACGATTAGGGGAGATAGAAATGAGATGCAACAACTGTTGAAACTCTTGGACGATAACAGTTACGTGTTCCGGTACCGAACTTGCGACGATGGAGTTACGGTTAGAGATATTTTTTAGAC